AGAATAAATTTGGGGCCAATCACATGCCCCCCTTGATGGCACAGCATGATAGAAAAGTATCATGCTGTGCCATCAAGGGGTACAGCATGACAGAAAAGTATCAACTTGTATTTCTCAGCACTGAGAACACCATAGATCCAGACCAAATCCCCAACTCCACTTGCAGAAATGCAGCTCTAAACTTACAAATTCCATTACCTTATTATGCAGGTCTTTTTGACGGTTCTTTTCTGCTCCCCATGGCTCAGTATCTAGCCTGCTCAGTGCATCCAAGCAAGAGCTACCAAACTCACTGACTATTTAATACTCAGACACTAATTGCAATTTAAAAAGTTACAGATGTGGGAAATTAACCTGTAATTGCTATTTTAACCTGTGTGTCATTTTGTGCATATGTATCAAGGCCAACCATTCCAGGGTATGTAAATTTGTGATCAGGGTTATTTGAGTGATTTCTGTTATCATTATGATTTAAAAATGAACCAAGCAACTAAGTGATAATAAATGGCTTCATATGATCACTATCCTTAAATAAAAGACAGTTTTTTTATATGATCAGTCAGCTCAAAAATATTAAAGGAACAATTTTCAATCAGAGTATAGCATCAAGTCAGTTAAACTCCTGTGATATTGATCTGGTCAGTTAAGTATCAGAGGGGGTTATTAATCAGTTTTAGCTGCTTTGGTGTTAATGAAATTAACAACAGGTGCACTAGATGGGCAAAAATGAGATGACCCCCAAAACAGGAATGGTTTTACAGGTGGAGGCCACTGACATTTTTTTCCCTGCTCATCTTTTCTGACTGTTTTTCACTAATTTTGCATTTGGCTAGGGTCAGTGTAACTACTGGTAGCATGAGGTGATATCTGGACCCTACAAAGGTTGCACAGGCAGTCCAACTCCTCCAGGATGGCACATCGATACATGCCATTGCCAGAAGGTTTGCTGTGTCTCCCAGCACAGTCTCAAGAGCAAGGAGGAGAATCCAGGAGACAGGCAGTTACTCTAGGAGAGCTGGACAGGGTCGTAAGAGGTCCTTAACCCATCAGCAGGACCGGTATCTGCTCCTTTGTGCAAGAGGAAACAGGATGAGCACTGCCAGAGCCCTACAAAATGACATCCAGCAGGCCACTGGTATGAATGTCTCTGATCAAACAATCAGAAACAGACTTCATGAGGGTTGAGGGTGGACTGAGGGCCCGACATCCTCTAGTGGGCCCTATTCTCACTGCCCGGCATCAAAGTGCTCAACTGATCATAAAAAGGGCATTACAAAACAAAGAAAATCCCTTTCCATTTCATGCTGTCAGCAATGGCACCACATGGAAGGGAAATGTCACAAGGCATGAGAAAGAAGATCATTTCTTTACACAAGAAAGGTGAAGGCTACAAGAAGATCAACAAAGCTTTACTTATCAGTCAAAAGTCTGTAGCAAAAGTGATACAAATATTTAACACAGATGAGACTGCAACCATCTCACAGAGACATCCAGGCCATCCACAGAAGTTAACACCTCGACAGGAGCGTCTTATGATGAGAAGGGTTAAAGAAAATCACCATGCAAGTTCACTGCAGTTAGCTAAAAAAGTAGAAAGCCAAACCGGGATGATTTTTTTTTCCTGTGACACAATATGGTGTATACTACAGAGGAATGGCATTCATGGGTGTCGTCCACAAAGGAAGCCTCTCCTTAAGCCCATGCACAAAAAAATTTGCCAGGGCCCATGCTGAAAAAGAACACCACTGGGACTCTGTACTCTGGAGTGATGAGACCAAGATAAATGTTTTTGGAACTGATGGCTTCAAAACTGTATGGCGTTGCAAAGGTGAGGCGTAAAAAGAAAAATGAATGGTGTCTATAGTGAAACATGGTGGTAGCAGTGTCCTCCTTTCACAGATGTACTGCTCTATATTGAAAGAGAAGATGCTACCATCACTGACAATGATTCAAAACACACATCTAACCCAGCTCTTGCATTTCTGACGAAGAACAGGGTGAAAGTGATTCAGTGGCCAAGTATTTCTCCCAATCTGAACCCATTTGAACACCTATGGGGAATTCTAAAGTTGAGCATTACTCTCCATCCAACATCCAGGCTCTAAAAGAGGTAGTTTTGAAGAATGAAAAAAGAAAGATGTTGCAATATGTCACCAACTTGTTCATTCGATGCCTAGGAGACTTGGTGCTGTCTTTACAAATTATGGAGGTCATACAAAATACTAGATGTAGTAGTTTTTTTTGTGGGGTATATTAATTTTTGGATCAACTAATTTGAATAAAACTGAAGATTTTGTAATCTAAGTTTTCTTATTAACCTTATTTTCATGTAATCAGCTAAACAAATGTTCTATAAAACTTAGTTTTGCCAAAATGTTGGAAATTGTTCTTGTGTTCACTGAGATATTGATTACAATCTTACTTTTCAAAAGGGGTGTACTCATTTATGCTGAAAACTGCATGTGTGTGTATATATCAAAATATATATAAATCTGTGCTAAAAGCAAGATAAAAATGAGAATGCAAACATATAGCAGCTGAACACTACACGACGGTACCCAGGCAATATAACAGTATACATATAAAGTGAAGTGCGTAACAAAAAACAATTGGTGAGACAAAATTATAATAATACATCATTAAAGGAAATGTCCATTTGGAGTTGTCAAAAATAAAGGAAAGTCCCCAAAAGCTGTGATGAACAGGAAAATCCAAGGATAGCTGATGTGTCACCAACCACTCACATAAAAGGCTTACCAGAGGATATGACCCCCTGTTAAGAGTGGTCAATCACGCTTTGCTGTATGATAACCCAGAAAACTGGAAAACTGGAAACTCCTCTTGATCCCCAAGGGAGAAACGCCAAAGAACCTCCAAGCAATGATCATAAATATGGTAGCTCACCAAAAGCTCATCTTCCAATGACTTTCAAGATTTCAAAGTCTTCTTTGTGCAGCCGTAGTTGCTTCACTTTATAAGCAAATGGTTTGGCCCACTCAATGTAGTCGTGGATGTTCTTGTTGCGGCGCAGAGATACTCTGTCACAAGGAATTAGATATATACTATTAGAGTGTAGGAATACTTGCAAAATAGTCCCTTCTGGCTTGGAGTTTAGCAGCATAGACAGGACATGTGGCTGAGACTCTCTCTCCACTTCCCTCCTCTGGGGTTTCAAAGCCATCAACCTAGGGACAGGGCATACATAATATATTTACAGGCATTTACATATTCAGACTATAGAAGGCAGCAGATCTCGACACAGGGATCCTCTGATCACTACATAGCTGATAAAAATAGCTGGGGTGAACTGGTGCACCACATCAGTGTCTGCAGGAAAGTGCACAGTAGGTAGACTGTGTTTGCATTGCCCCCATGGCCAAGTCCCCTGCTAGTGGCCAACAGCAAATGTATGGCAGGCCCACCGCAGGATGAAAGCAGGTCTACTTGTGTTTCCCTGAAAGCAATGTGTTCACACATCTCTTCTTAGTAGCTTCATCTTCCTTCTCTCTGACACTGCTCCCAAATAATATGGCTACAATCACCTCACACTGCTCCCAAGAAATGTTCCCCTACAGAAAGTTCTTGCTGCTGCCTTTTCTTCTTCTTCCCATGTCCTTGACTCTTCCCAATATATAATCTCAACCCCTGGGTGGGACTACTGATAAAGAAGTTTTACAAAATGTAACAAGGGGCCTACATCCATGCACTCCAAGATTGGTTGCAAAAGAAGAGGTAGCAGCAATATGTGTGCAGAGACCGTCCTCTTAGTACAGGTTCGGCAGATATTTCCAAGAACTTTTGAGTGTGCCAAGGTGAGAATGAAGAAGCACAACTGAGGACAAGGACAGAATGTTGTCACTCAATAACAGAAAAAATAATGGCTTTATCACCAGTTATTATTTTTACAAATTTAAAAATACATATAATGACTTAAAGATAAAAGTAAACATACTTACAACAGACCCTGGCTTTGGCCCGCTTGCCTAGGCGCCAGTGATGTTACTATGTACCAAAATACAAGCACACAGATATTTAATGCTGATAGTCCAAATGCATCAAGGAAGGGAGAATTAATGGCTGTAACTCATGAAAGCTTTTTCTCTGGTCCTGCAGGCTCCTTTTATAAACATGGGCTGTCTCAGCAGCCAGTAGTCAGCTTGGAACAACATAAAATCAAGAGACTACAGCCGGATGTGAAAAACTCATCAATGCCATCTGGAGCTCTCTGAGCCAGGGAAATTTAAAACAGCATTCCACACTGCCTAATCAAGCAATTGACAAGATTATACATGAGAAGGAGGGGCATTAAAATTAATTTCAAGGGTGTACCTCTTTTTCAAACCTACCCCAATAAGCCTTTTAGTGTTGCAATGGGACAGGTTTGAAAAAGAGGTACACACTCAAAACGCCTTACCGCCCCCCTTCTCACATATCATTGTAAGCCGTGTACTGTGGTGGGCTCCCCAGGATACAGTGAAGTCACGAACGAGGAAAGCAACCCCAACACCAGCTTTTGTCACATCAGAATTTTACTTAGATGTGGCAAATAAACACAACCAAAAATGCTGGAAACATACAATAAATTTACATACACCCAGCCCAAAGGCTGAGACGGCGCCTTCTGATGGATGAAGGTAGAAAGTGAAGTAATTTACCTACTGGCGGGCACAAATAAGCTGCCACACCTTACCTGTTATTACCCTAAAAGAGCAGGAATCAGTGTATGGGTATATGGTATGGGCTAATAATCTGCGGTGCAGAACAACATCTTACAATCTTACACAAATCTACAGTATTCCCTCTCCCATAACTGGTCCTATAGCACGTGCCTGAGTATTCCTTCTGAACAAAACGCCAGTCTGGCTTGAGTTTGTGGGATTTTATCAGCTCTCCAATGTGAAATGTCCCTTTAAGTTGTGGAGTCCTTCCAATAATCAGTAACAACACTTGTGGTCTGACACAAACAGAGACCCTAACTAACTAACTAACTAACTATAGGCCTGGCCTCAGTCTCTAGGCGCCAACACTGAAATGAGGTGCGTGCACGATCTTACCAACCCGGGTCTGCTTTTCATCCGCTGGTGACTCTGAACAGAACAAATGTCTCTCCAACAAGCATGCAGTCTTGCCGTATATGTTGCTTAGTTCCTCTGCTCTCATCAGCCTTCCTGGCAGCAATCTCATCAGCATTCCTGGCAGCAATCTCATCAGCATTCCTGGCAGCAATCTCTGGTTACTGAGGGACGCTTTCACACCTGGATGTCATCAGATTCTCAGCTCACACGGCCCCTTATTCACCATGCTCCAAAACATGGCTTCTCCCTCTCCTTCCTGTTCTCTCCAACTCTCTGTGCAAAACCCCACCTCTTCATGAATATACAAATATCTATGCAGTCTGAGGCTGTGTTAGAAAAACAGTGACATCTTGTGGCTAAACCACAGAATGTCAGTCAAAACATTAATTTACTTCCACACAAACAGTGTTCAAACAATGAGAGCTATTTCCCCATCTCACATCATCATATCATTACAGCAGCTTGATTCAGTAGTGTGGAACGCTGTTTTGAATTTCCCTGACTCAGTGAGCTCCAGCCAGCATTGATGAGTGTACACATAGCACTCTCTGCCCAGACTGTGGTGCCTTGATTTCATGCTGTTCCAAACTGACTCCTGGTTGCTGTGATGTAAGTCTGAATTTGTTTTTATCCAATAAAGATACTCAGCTTTCTAATTAGATCATGTGCTTCTGTCTGCTTTTGCTTTTTGATTGTCAGCCAGTGATGTCACTCAACCTCACTGTAGGGTCTCAGAAAAGCTAAATCTACTCCTGCACCGTGCAGGAGTATTCCTGCCAAAGGCACTATATGCTACATAGCCAAAAGTGATGAACTCAACACAATCCATGAATCATAAAATACAGGGCAGTCACTATTGGAGAAATAACACACAATATTCACAACATTACCATATACAAAAGGTCACGGGGACATTTTCTCAGTACAACGTCCTGTATACATGCACATACAGTACTAGGAAGAAGAAACAAACTGAATGACACTGCTTTTGCAAAAAGGCCATGAAGTTCAATAAATGAAAGATAGCTTTCCAAGATATTGTAAGCAGAATTCAACAATGTATTAACTGCTGAATATGAGCAAGTGGGAGAGCAGATTGCTCTGGAGCCCCAAGCCAAATGATAATGATATGGTAAATATCTGCTTAGAATGTATTTCATAGGGTCTCTAGACCATTTTAGCAGATAAGTTGTTGCACAATAGATAGAAACATTCATTGCAGAAGGAGGATATGCATGTTCTGAGCATTACCAAAATGGTTTCTTGTTTACTTTGCATACCACTTGCTAGCTCTGAGTAGGGTTGTCACTTGGCCAGGTTATATAAAAAAAATTAACATAAAAACAAAATAGCATCCACATGTGTAATTGTGTGAAATAAAGAACAGCTTTAATGAAAACAATAAACAAGATTTTCCTGCAGATGCAAATCCCATTCCCTACATAAAAGCTTTTTCTTTTTCTGTGCAGCTAGCCCTTGATTCTTACATCACACTCTACATATGCTATATATCTGCTTTACACTGAAAATTAAAACTTGAGGAATAGGATCCTACTTTGGGTTCTACGGTTATATTTGAAGTAGCCAAGAAAAAGATGCAATGTGTGCAAAGAGTTTGTTTCCATTTGGAAACAATCAAGCAACAAGCTCCCCATGAATGTGTGAGTGGAGAGTTTTTGAGGTTTTTAGACAGCCCAGCTATTGGAAAACCCAGCAAATGGGTCAATTAAAGTTGAGCAGCTCAGTTCACCAGAAGGGGAAAATCCCCCCGGGAAAACAACATATTATGGTAAAGGGAACCTGTTTCTGAGTTTCATCTCCAACACAAATTGCTGGTGGCTGAATATATGGTATGTAGAGTTTACAGCGTATAATACCAGTGCATATGAATTTTTATGCGTTCTCTTTATACAGTATACAAAGAGAACTTTTTTGAGCTTGAGCCTAAAGGGTCCTTCACATATTCAGTGGTAGATCTCCTCCCATCTGCTCAAAGTATCCTATAGATTTCAAATATCAGGACCCTTAGCCACTTGCTCTCCAGAGGATTTATCCCTTCCTGACCAGGCCATGAGCTTGCAATCCAAAAGGTGGGGATATACTAGATACAATTTAAAAACTATAAAAAGGTAGATAGTCTAATAGAACAAGAAAGAGAATCCCAGACAATGGGGGCTGCTCTGGAGAAATCTTGTAGGCATGCATTTAATGATAGAATTGAGGGATCTGGAAAGGCATAGGTGTATGGAAGAGCTGAAAGGGTGGTTTGTTGATGCATATTCTGTACATATGCAAGATTGGCTAACAGTTTAGAGTAGAACTAAATTTATTTATTTTTTTCATATTAGGTAGAGCAAGATAGAGTAAGTCCTACAGCCAAAAGAGGAAGTTGGAGGAAATACCTCCAAAGTGAGGGAATACCTGGTTGGTACTAGGGTCACTAGAACTAGTGTCCCCAATGGAAAATTTCCCCTCTATTACTATTACTTTACACTCTGTCCAAAACTAAAGTTTTGCATTTAGTTATACTTAAGTATTTTTAAATCTGGGTGTCATCAGCATACTCCAAGGGCTGATCATAGTGGGCTCCTGGCCAAAAAAGAGTGTGGGAAAGAACAATGCTCCAATTGATAAGACCATAAAACAGCAGATCAATAAGCAATGTGTACATAGTTGATTGAAGGAAACTTGCTTGACCAGGCAGGTTTTGTGTGTTTTGTGTGTGTGTGTGGAGGGTCGGGGGGAGGAGGAGAGAGTTGACTTCATCTATATTTACTGGAATGAAAGAGCTTTAATTGTTTCAATTTTTTTTGATGATTTGTTTTGAACAGTCACAAGTAGTTTAGTGTAACAGTTTTTGCACTGGAATTTGATATGCATGAAAATATAGGAATTCTATAGCTTTCTTTTAAAAGGTAGTGATAGTAATTTTACATAATAAATTCTAAATAAATATATTCTATAAATCAGCTTTTTACCATAAATATCCCACCTTGACACTGTAGTGTAATTCACTGCATTATACTCCTTCCACTGCAAATAGTCTAATGACAGTATTATTTGCTGAATTTGAATTTTGAATCTGAATTTGCTGAATTGCTCTATTTGGATAGACTTCATATATGTGAAATGACAGAGTACAGCTAAACAGATGCATATGGAGCTGTGAGAGCAACCAAACTAGTAGAGGTAGCTTTATTATTTTCATTTTGCACATCCCAACTGCCTGTTCTTATCTTTAGAGCCTCTGACCACCTGTGATTTGTTTCATCTGTTTTCATAACTTTTCCCCAAATGCTACAAGCTGTATACCAACATAAATTAGAAAAAATACAAAACCTAATGAAGACTGTGTCCTTATGGTCACTTGAGGAAGCACTGAAGTTTGCAAAGGGGTTGGGATAAAGTAGGAGATGCTGAAGCCAATTTCTACCATATAGTAAGGAGTAGCTCCTCCACTGTTCTTGATATGGTAAAAACAGCTTCAATATCAACATAACATGTACAGTACCACACACAAATACAAAATAAGTAATTTCTGAAAGTTCTTTATTTACCTTCTGCAATGGCCAAGCACAAGCTGTCCATAAGCTATACACTTGCCTGAAAGGTTTGTTTCAAGTCCTTACTAAGGGTTAATGACTTTATGTTGTATTTAATGAATTAGAAGAAGCTGGGCATCATCTTCAAACAATAAAAAGGATAGATCTGGTATGTTAATCTTTTTCTAAGCCTTCCCCTTTCTTTCATGTCAGTTTTAATACGAGGTAGCTAAAACCAAAAGGGAACCTTGGAATTTTTTTGTAAAATTTCAATAAATTATAGAGCTTATATGGATTGTCTGTCAATAAGCTAAAAGTATTCAGTGAGCATCAATAGAACCTTTGTTGACCATGAGTATGAGTTCTGTGATGGAATCCTGTCTGCTATATAAGGTGGTTGCTATGCAGTTGGTAGTCACTTGGATGTAGATTGTATGCCCATTCATACCAAGGCCACTAACCATGAACTTAAGCTGAAAAGAGGTAGACAGACAGAAGACAAAACTTATCATCCTAAATAAAAGGAATACTTTTTTTTACAATCTGGCAGGTTGAAAGAAGAAGTGGAACACACTGCATGCATTTCAATTGCCATTAAACAAGGTCTCTCAGACAAAAATACAGAAAAGCTTCAGCATTCCTGGGTGGGCCATTAAATAAACAAGGCATCAGTGCCAAAACCATACAATGGTGTTGCCTTTGCCTTTAGGATGCATACCTACATAATGCAGTATGCATTACCATTTAAATTAGCTATCATCCTTGCTATTCGATGCATTCATGCGATTAGCATACATGTATTTTAACAACATACATTTTTTATTATAAAGTATATTGGTTGGTTGTGTCTTTAATACAAAGTTGTATCTTTATGAATTCACAGTATATTTACCATTTGGAGTTGTTTTATGAATAAAAGAGAGTTTCCATAATAAACAGGTTTGTTTTATCCACTCCTTCATGTTTAAGATTAGGATGCAAATTTCATCAGGATTCAGGATTGCTATGACTCATCCGGAAAGAGACCCCTGTATTTGTTTTTATTACTCCTGCATAGTGGTAGGTGTGTAGCTTGAACCAAGCACTTTATGGATTATTCATCGAAAGCTGCTAACCAGGAAAAGACATAAACTCAATGCTTCTGTTGGTTAATGGTGTGTAAACTCTCACAAATCAATAAAGAATCAATTTGGTGACATTTATAGTGCCAAAATATTTCTTGCTAACAGATGGAAGAGGTCAGCTGAGGCAGTGACAACCATGGCAAGTCATAAAGCTGCAGATACTGTAGCAATACATTTGGGTAATTTATGAATAATTTACTTTATATCATTGCTTTATTCAGTTGTCAACATTTATCACACTATGGTAGCTCCGGTAAAATTCTAATTTATGGCATATGCTAGAGTTCCTCATGGATTTATAAAATATACCAAAAAGTTTTATTCTATAAAGCTTACACTTATATTTTTCAATCTTTACACAATACCTACAATATTTAAATGTGTATAGTCCTTTCTTGTTATCTTGTTTTGCCCAGTGTGGCAACTACAACATAATTTATTATTATTGCAGGAGATTCATATAGTGCCAACAGTTTGCGCAGCACTTTATAATATTAAAGGAGGCAGTACAGAAACATTACAATTCAATACAAGAGAGTTAGGAGGGATCTGCTTCTGGGAGCTTACAAAACAAAGTAAATCTCTGGTAAAGAAAAGAGTATTAAACTAAATATATACTGTAGCATGTGATCT